CCCCCTGTCCCCCGCCCCGCGCCGCGCGGCCGCCCGTCGCTTCGCATAGGGCTGAATGGTTGCATTGGGCAGGGTGGCTCCAGGATGTTAGGGACTGTGAAGATGGAAGGGCATGAGAGCAACGACTGGAACAGCTACTACGCGGACACACAGGAGGTGAGAGGCGAGCAGCAGGCGGGACGCTCCGACTCAGTGCCGGGGGGAGGCTGGACTAGGCGGGCGCCGAGCAGAGCGGGCGGCTGGCGGGCGGGGGGCGCCCTTAGTGCCCAGCTCAGAGCCCGATCGGCTGCGCCGCTGAGGGGGCTGGGTCCCCGCGCGCTCCGCTCTGTAGAGGCCTTAGGAAACTCTAAGCTTTGAAATCGTCTGCACCGGGAAACACTTTTCTCTTTCCCTCCGGAAAGCCGGAACCGGAGCCGGGTCCCGGGTGCCGAATGTTGGCGGGCAGGCGCCAGCACGAGTTGGAGGAAACTCTGAGAAAGTCAGAACTCGCTCTCAGGGTAGCCTTTTCCTCCGGGGTTTGAAATCTCAGGTGTTTTTCTGATATAAAGGTGCCGCCGCTAAGTTGAGTGTGTTAATAATGAAACGATTCTGAAATTTTATAAAACTTACCAAACCCTTTTGGGGGACAAGTGTGCTTAATTCTTTTCTAAAACCGCTAGGTGGCGCTAGTGTGAGCTGACTTTTAATACCGCACTCAGGGCGGAGAACCTGTTTCTCTTCATTGTCCCCTTGGTGGCACATTCATGTGGTTTATTTTACAATGTGCACAAAGGGATTGCGAGAAAAACCAGGTATAGACAGGACCACCATCTACAAAAAGTATTTCTCTGAAAACAGCTGGCGATTACCCCCTTCCCCCAAAGTTTATCATCGTTGAAAAAGCTTTTGAAAACTACCTTGAATAATCTTAGGAAAAGGGAAAGAAAAAAAAAGTAAAAAATACCTTAAGAATAGAAAAATATAAGAAATATTTCCATAGTGATTGACTTATTTAAATTTGTGTATGTAGATATTCCTAAACTTACTTTGAGTTTATTTGCAAGACATAGCAGAGTGTGACTACTTAAATTTGTTTCTTCATCTTTTTATGGCTTCCAATAAGTCATATTTACTGAACAAATTTAAGGATAACAATTTAAAATTATCAGAGAATTAGTCTTTCCCCCCCCCATTCAGTTTTTAATGCATGACCAAGTGGGCATTGATACAGATTTTCCTGTAAGGATGATTTAAAATTCGTCCTGAGACTTAATACACATGCAGTGCTCTAGACCCATTAATCAGTTAAGTCCCCTAAGGAAAGAATTTCCTTACACATTAGAACATTGGGAAGTAGACCTAAGAGAAAATAAGTAGACATTGATTTTGTAGTTTGGCTGTAATTCAAACTATTCATATAGATTAAAAAGTCAGAAATGATCAGTGGTTACTTGTCAATATTTGGAAAATGTAGGTGATTATTTCTACAAATTATGTCATTAACATTTTCAAACGCGGAGGGCTAGACATCGGTAATGAAATTATTGCCAGTTTTTCAATGATTTAAACAGGTGTAGTGTAAGATCGTATCAAATGCATGCAGTACATTGATAATATTACGCACTTCTCCCTGCCCTTCTCCTGTTGTAGATCTATTTTTTAACCCGCCCCCCCAAAAAAAAATAAAACTTACTGAACTTCTGGCTTTTGCTCTTCTAATATTACACTTGCTACAAGTAGGCGAGAAATACCTCTAAACCAACCGAAGGGCGCCATTTGACGAATATCAATAAGACAGTAAAGCCAGTTGCTGAGAAATGATCATATGGCCATGATTTGCTCCATCACGGAGAGTTTAATTAACAGCCGCCCTGCACAAACGAGACAGCTACTTGGTCAGCTGCGCCTGGTAGGCATAGGCAAGATGGGTGCAGAGCTGGTGCCATCTTGCGGGGGGAGGGGAAGTGAGGCAAGAAAGTGCGGACGGAACCCACCGCATCTTGAAGGTGGAGTGAAATCAGAGGGTCCGAAAATGTTTAATTTCGGAGTTTAAAACACGATTTGCCCAAAGCGCGCTTTATGAGGCCAGCCAGAGGTAGAGACTGGGATACCACCTAGTGTGGATGGAGGAGGCAATGGAGGGGTCCCCTAGAAGTCGACCCTTGAGCCTGGCGTATAAAGCGATTACACATTTTCCTGGGGACATATTTTCTGTGAGCATTTGTCTTTCATGCCTGCTGAGCTGGGACTTTTCCCCTGCTGTGCAAAACATCCCTGCTTGTTCTGAGGAGGGCGCCTGAGGGTTTGCCCTGGGGGGGGGGGGGGTGTCTGATGCTTTGTAGAAATGCTTTCCGCTTGCCGGGGCGGTTAGGCCTGGGGAGCACACCACTAACCCCGCCCTTCGGGGCCTCTTCACTCGCTGTCTCCCCTCCAGGCCTACTCCTCCGTCCCGGTCAGCAACATGAACTCAGGCCTGGGCTCTATGAACTCCATGAACACCTACATGACCATGAACACCATGACCACAAGTGGCAACATGACCCCAGCTTCGTTTAACATGTCCTACGCGAACCCGGGCCTGGGTGCAGGCCTGAGCCCAGGCGCCGTGGCGGGCATGCCGGGAGGCTCGGCGGGAGCCATGAACAGCATGACGGCGGCCGGCGTCACGGCCATGGGGACGACGCTGAGCCCGAGCGGCATGGGCGCCATGGGCGCGCAGCCGGCGGCCTCCATGAACGGCCTGGGTCCCTATGCGGCCGCTATGAACCCGTGCATGAGCCCCATGGCGTACGCGCCGTCGAACCTAGGCCGCAGCCGGGCAGGTGGCGGCGCGGACGCCAAGACTTTCAAGCGCAGTTACCCACATGCCAAGCCGCCCTACTCATACATCTCGCTCATCACCATGGCCATTCAGCAGGCACCCAGCAAGATGCTCACGCTGAGCGAGATCTACCAGTGGATCATGGATCTCTTCCCCTATTACCGGCAGAATCAGCAGCGCTGGCAGAACTCCATCCGCCACTCGCTCTCCTTCAATGACTGCTTCGTCAAAGTGGCGCGCTCCCCGGACAAGCCGGGCAAGGGCTCCTACTGGACGCTGCACCCGGACTCTGGCAATATGTTCGAGAACGGCTGTTACTTGCGCCGCCAGAAGCGCTTCAAGTGCGAGAAGCAGCCGGGGGCCGGCGGTGGGGGCGGGGGCGGCAGCGCCAAAGGTGGGCCTGAGGGCCGCAAGGACCCCTCGAGCGCCAACCCCAGTGCGGAGTCGCCCCTTCATCGGGGTGTACACGGTAAGGCCGGCCAGCTAGAGGGCGCGCCGGCCCCCGGGCCCGCGGCCAGCCCCCAGACTCTGGACCACAACGGGGCGACGGCGACAGGGGGCGCCTCGGAGCTGAAGACTCCGGCCTCCTCGGCTGCGCCTCCAATCAGCTCCGGGCCTGGAGCGCTGGTATCTGTGCCCCCGTCCCATCCGGCGCATGGCCTGGCACCCCACGAGTCCCAGCTGCACCTGAAAGGGGACCCCCACTACTCCTTCAACCATCCCTTCTCCATCAACAACCTCATGTCCTCCTCGGAGCAGCAGCACAAGCTGGACTTCAAGGCATACGAGCAGGCACTACAGTACTCGCCCTATGGCGCCGCGTTGCCTGCCAGCCTGCCTCTTGGCAGCGCCTCGGTGGCCACCAGGAGCCCCATCGAGCCCTCCGCGCTGGAGCCGGCCTACTACCAAGGTGTGTATTCCAGACCGGTCCTAAACACTTCCTAGCTCCACGGGACTGGGGGTTTGTCTGGCATGGCCATGCTGGTAGCAAGAGAGAAAAAAATCAACAGCAAACAAAACCACACATACCAAGCCAACAACAGCATAATAATATCCCAGCTATTTTTATTTACTTTTTGTGTGTGTGTGTGTGCACAATCTTCCCCCGGTGCAAAAGACTGTTACTTTGTTACTGTATTCAAAATGCCTCATGTATATTATTACAGAGAAAACCGATCCCAAACCAATATTTTTTTTTTGCAAAGTTTAATGATCCACACGTGTATATATAAAATCCTACTTCCTTGTCCCTAGCCCTTTCTTCTCTCTTTCCTCTCCAGACACATTCTTGTCCACACAAGGTTTATCTTAAAAAGGAGAGAGATGGTCAAGCTTGTAAAATGTTTGTTCTCCCAACCAACCCCCAACACCCTCCTCCCACGAGTTTACAGGTCTATGGCAACACTCTTAATCTTAAAACTCAAAGGGTGAAGACACAAGAAGGTATTCAAAAGTATGGAAGGACAATACTGTTGTTCTGCAACAAAACAGAAGCAAATTATAAACATCAGAGCCATTCGTTTTTCAGCTTTCATTTCAGATACATTCTGAGAGCAGATGTCTTAAAATTATATACATATATACTATGTACGAACTTCTTATTTATGACATGCTCAGAATTGTAGACATACTCTATGTATTTACATAAAGTATACAAGTGATAGCTCGGTGATATACATGCTATATTTTCAAGAGTTGCCTGACCAAGAAGTTACAAAGACACCCCCACTTTATTCTCTCTACCCACACAGAGCTCCAGGAGTCCATAACTCACGAACTATCCTCAATAACTCTGCTCCTTGCTTTGCAGAGGGCCATGGTCATGTCATTCAGAGGTCACATAACATGTATAAAATTAACTACTATGTATCTATACCATTTGAAGAATTTTTTTTTTCATGAAAAAAGGGAACATTACAATATTGGAGGAGTAATAAGTTACAGGGAGACACATTTCAAATTTGGGTCCAAAATCCAATTGATTGTGACCATTTTAATTATTGCCATCGTGTGCTTGTTTCATTCAGTGTTAATGCACTTTTCACAGTTGGACATGGTGTTAGTATAGCCAGACGGGTTTCATTATTATTCCTTTTTGCTTTCTCAATGTTAATTTATTGCATGGTTTATTCTTTTTTTTTCCTTTACAGCTTAAATTGCTTTAAATGATGGTTAAAATTACCAATTAAAATGTTAATTTTATCAATGTGATTGTAATTAAAATATTTTGATTTCAGTAACAAAAATGATAAAATTTAAGCCGTGGAATATGTTCTTGATCATTTGCAGTTAAGGACTTTAAATAAATCAAATGTTAACAAAAAAGAACTTCTGTTATTTTCCTTAATTATTGCCAAAATAGATAATCCAAATATGATATATTTTAAAGTCTAGCATTAAATATAAATGGGAAAAAGGACTATAAAACAAAATTGTTTTGTTACAGTAATTATAAGAACATGTAACAAGTGAAAAAGTAGTCAATGAAATTCAATAAAAGTAGGTGGTAGGTAGATAAATTGATTTACAAGGACAAAAATTGAGATTTTTGAAGATTATTTTTTGAAATGTTTACTTCAGTTTTTGACATGGGCTTAAGCCTTCTGTATTTCTTTTAAGCCCTTCCACAATGAAATCGAATATTATTAATTTCCCTCCCTTTTCCTCTTCCCCAATGTATAATTTTCACCTGTCTGAGTAGTATTCACGTGAGAAAATATCGGATGTGGCTGATAAAATTAAGTTGTCTACAACAGAGAATTCTTTTCATTAAAAGAGGAACAAAACTTTAACATCGCGGTAGCTTTGGAGGGAGCCGGAGAAGGCGGGTTAAAGCAGAAGCTTTGTGCCACCGCGAAGTTTCAAAGTATCTGCTATTTTGAATTTTGAGGCACTAATTTTTAAAACATCGTTTCTAAAAATACGTTTTCCAGACGTTAAAGCTGATAATTTTGTCTTCCAAGAAGTTTGTTTTTCAATGCAACTTCACACCCCTACAGTTGCTTGAGATCACAAAATCATTAATCTCCTTTGATAGTAGGCTCACTTTCCAGTCCACCTATTTCTTTGTAAGTCTTGTTCAGATTGACATCAACAATAACAACGCCAGCCCAAGCAGAGGCCGGCCGGCTTGAGCCCTTGTGTATGAACTCCATCTTCGCAGGGCTTGAACTTGGACAGCTTTTACTTTGATCGCCCCACTCCACACCACAGACAAGATAAAAAGAGCTGTGTGAGTCCCTTAATTATCGCGTAATTGCCTCCCCAAGGGAAGGATGCCTTGTGGCACTTGAGAAAAATCCAGAAGTCTCTCCCCACCCCCACACCCCCTCCTTCAGTTAATGAAAGAAGGAAAGGGAAACTACTGGTTTCAGTGATTTCAAACCTAATCTGGAGTCCTCAGAAGGGCGTTAAAAACCCCCCGAGAGGAGAAAAGCTTTCAGTTCCAAGACATTCATATACCTATATAACGGATGAGTAAAGTTTGGCAAATTCGAATTTCAAATGTAATGCAAAGGCGTGAGCTTGGGCTCGGAATTGCACCCGGCCCCACTGCCTCGAAATCGTTTAATTTTCTTGCTGCCTTTCCGCAGATGTCCCCATGTCTTTTTAAAACATTAGCGATAGCGACGTCTGGCCTTCACCCGCCAGGCTTAAGTCGACCTTTGCTCTCTTTTACTTGGCGGGGACTTTTCCTGGGCTTGCGGGGGGCGAGGCGCCGCGGCCTTAAGGCTGAGGCCACTTTGGAGACCAGCTTGGGAGCCGGAATGGTGGGGTCGCAAGGAGGAGGTCTCGCTTCTTGGGCTTTCTTCGGATCGTTTGGCCACTCACTCTGCCTTCCCTGGACGATGCGAGGTGCGCCCGGCGCGTCAGGACGCGCGCGGGTTGGGGGCCAGGGCAGGCGGTTGCCAGGGAAGAGGGGCAGAGCAGCATCGCAAGCATCTCGAGGTGACAAGTGCAGTTAGTTCTTCATTGTTTGGGCATTTTCCCTTCCTAGCGAATAAATCTTCTGTTGAGCCCGAGACCTAAAAGTCAACAAAGAAGGCCTGGCGCCTCGTTACCGCTCCTGCGGCCCCTACGCCCGCGTTGCCGAGGCTGCTCCCGCTGCGTAATCCCTTCCTCGGAAACCCCGACACACAAACGCCGGATCGCCCAAGGCTGGGGCGCCGCGCCCCAGGGCCAGGAGGAAAACATCTGTGGTTCGGAGGGAGTGCTGGGACTTTCCTCGAGCGCGCCGCCTTCCCGCGACCCCCTCCTACTCCCCCCCCCATCCCCCGCCCCCAGTTTGTCTGCAAGTTTCTCTGTTACTTCGCTTCGGCTGCTCCCGCACACCAGGGCCGGGAAGGAGATGCTGACCGCGCGGCCGCTGTCCATCCGCTCGCTTTATTTAGGAATTTCGCTCAGCTTGGGGGAGGGGTCTCCGGCGGAGGGAGTGAGGAGAACCTTCCTACAGACCCAAGAGAAAGCTCCGGAGGCCCTCAGATCCACTGACAACGACACCGAGCAAACACTTTTAGGATGAAAGAAAAATGTTTGGGAAATAAGTATAGTGTTGGGGAGGAGAACTTCAAATATTTCTTTCACCTTGTTCCAGGTCTGAAACATTTCTTTAATTGATAAAAAGACATAGGGAAGAAGAAAAGATCACCGGTTTAGTTTAGAAACTAAACAAGCTGCACAATTTATAAGTTCCCAAGTAGAAGGCGGCTGAGTCTGTTTTCTACAGATGGCTGCTAGGATATTTAAATCAAAGATAAAATTTAACATTGTCTCTTTGTGGTGCCCTCCTAACAGAATAAACTGTTGAGAATTATATGGGAGGAGGGATTAAACAAACAAAATCCTATTAAAGTCCTTAACTTCTGTTTTCGTTTTCTGAATGCTAGATACCCAACTGATTTCACTGGAAGTATAAAAACAATTTTCTTAAGCGTCTACGACATTTGAATAAACCATAGAAGAAAAAAATTCCTTGGGTGATTAAGTTTTTTAAACTCCTTGCTTGAGTACTTTAAAAAACTGATCACAGTTCCTCAAAATGCTTATTAAATTTCTTTGCAAAAAACTTCTGTGATCAATACAAATTCCTTTCAATGCAGACCAAAGCAGAAGACCTGTAGCCCAAATTAATTAACCTTTTCTCAAGATCAATGGGTTTTCTGTTGATTTAGCAGTAATATTGTAGAACATTTAGCTATAATGTATTTTAATGTGATACTTCAATATGTCAAGAGGAAAAATTCATTGAAAAGAGAAAATTGCTTAAGTTATTCAGTAGATATTTAATAAATTTGTAAGTTTTACTTTCAAAATTTAAATTTTAATTACATTTTTGAATTGTAGTAAAACATGCTTTGCAAAGTGGAGTAAAAGTAATGACTGATTACTTTAAGATAAATTATATGCAAAAGGTGATTACTTACAAGCCACAGTAGGCTAATTAAATAATGTTTATGTAGAAATAATTTTTTCCAAACCAAATCATTGTCATCAGTAGAAAACTCTTGAACATATGATTGCAATACAATAAAACAACAGGAAAAATTTGCCTTACTGAACAGGAATATACATTTGGGGAAGTATAAATTTTGTTTTTAAAGTAGCCATTTATGCAAGGTTTGTTTTCTATTGATTCATCTTATTGGGTATATTTCCAAGTAACATTTAGTAAGATACTTTTAATATTCTAGGGTTGTTGTTTTTTTTCCCTTCCAAATAGTTAACCTGGAGGCCATATGGTTCCATTGGTGTTTCTCTTTTTAGCTCACAGTCTGGCTGGGTGCTTTGAACTTTGGTCTTCTCAGAATGCAGCCCTTACCTCCCACCCCACCCCCCTTTCTCCTTTTCCTCTAGTCATCATTTCAGCAATTACTGGTGCAGTTCAATGTTAACTTATAAAGTGCATGCATTTTCATGCTATAAACATTTTCTTTAAAAAACTGACA